GAGTGTGAATTTTCTTGGTTGATGAGTGTGGTTTGGGGCTTGAGGGTATTTATATGGGGTAAGTAAGGCGAGTTCTACTGAAATAAAATTGATGGGATTGAATTTTTGTGCCGCCCCATTTCAGTAATTTGCATTATTATGTTGTCCATTTTGACTCGGTCCTACCACTCACCACTCTTATTGGCCCCTACAGGTTTTGCAATCTTTCTTTCTGTCTGTGTTGAAGCTTTTTGAGTTCGAGTTGCATACTTGCATTTAATTCACTCCTTTCATTTTCAAGAGAACAGATTTTGTGACCAAGAGAAAAGATTTCCTGTATCAAATTCGTTTTTTGATATGTTTTATTTAATTGGATGAATGCAATGTGTATAATAGTGACTTCATTCAATAGAAATATTAATTGGAATACAATTTTGGAACATAAGATTTTATCTCAAATTTTTCACCTAAATTGAAGTGAAAGATGAAAGCTTTAACTATTTTTGTTACCATTTTTTCACTTAATTGTGATCTGTGTAATGTTGAGAAATACCTTTCTAATACATCTTAGAAGCAAAGGCAAATGAATGTGACTCCCACATCATGTGTTTTTCTTGTTGCCATTTTATTTCAATCATGATAAAATTTAACAAAATGTTATCAAGAATATATTAGTGTTGCCATTTTCTAGTGGAACGGTCATATTTTTTAAAAATATAATATTTCAGTTTAAAAGTATATATATCTGTTGAAAGAAAATGATTGTCTAATCATAGTTAACGAACAATAACCTTATTGCTTAATACGTTGCTCGCAATAATTAAAAAGGTTAGAGAATTGAAATGATTAATTAATAAATTATGTATATTTTTAAATTAGATCACACCTAAAACTTTGCAAAGCCCTCATAAATTCAACAACTCATACTCTCATCAAAACAAAAACCCAACTAATAAAAACACTAGAACCAAATAGTAAAAAATGCAAGACAACAAACAAATAAAAATTAAAATCACAAGATCAATATGACCAAACTATCATAAGTTCACAACTCAAAAGAGCCCACCCTCAATCATCAACACCCAATTTTCAAAATTCACAAGCCACCGGCCCACCGCCCCTAAGAGCTCAGCCACACATATTCTGCCACCTCACCTCGGCCACCGGGGCTCATGGCAGTCTCTATCAACCAACTACCACTTATTACTTTAGTAGTGTTAAGCCTCTTTAAATTAAGGTTATTGCTTAATCCCAAAAATAATCTTTCTAAATAAAGGCCAGAAATTGTGGAGTACTAGAGGCTAGACTGCCACGCGTCGATCATGTAGTGGTTTCTCGGTTTCCTAATATTTCACAGTATCTTATGCTTGTGGACAAGATGAGTTGGTCGGCGGTAAGCACTAACCACAAGCGATTGCCTTCATATTTTCAATTTCATCTGTATTTTATTTTTATTTTTATTTTTATTTTCAAATAAAGAGCATAGTTTATAAACTCGGGCAGGTGATCAACCCGGACAGGTCCTCGAGTCACCAGGTCACCGGTTCAACCGTCGGGTCACCGGGTCAATTGCTGAACCGAATAATTAATTTTAAAATTTTTAAAATTATATATAGAGTATTTTTGTTATATAAATATACATAAAAGTAACAAAATTAAATGTTTTGTGTATAAAATTTATATATAAAAGTGTTAATAATATGTATCTCATGATAAATATTTACCATATAAACATATATACATATTTTTATTTTTAAAAAAACAAAAAAAATAAAAAAAAATATAAAAAATATATATGGAGCGGGTCAATGCCCCGGGTCGGCCGGGTTTTGACCGGGTCCTTGGTTGCCCTGTCCAAATATTCCACCCGGACCGGTTTCGGCTCCAGGTCGACCCGCCGGGCCGATCCGAGTCTCAAAACACTGATAAAGAGCATTATTTCTTTTCACCTTAAAATATATGAACTAAATTAGTAAAACTGAAATGTGCATTTCCATTTGATAAGAGTCTCACTTACAGTTACGAAATGAAATGACTAGTTTCACTAGTTCGATCAAAAGAGTTAAATTCGGCTCAACAATAACGTTTTTTCATGTAATATTATTTAGTTCTCTTTGTTAAGACACGGGATCGACTTGTTAAAGTTGAATTTCATTTATTAACTTATTTAGTTAATCAATTGAATTCGACCGTTCAAGCTTGAGGTCGACTATCAAAAACTCAAGTTTGATTGTTTTAAACATCTAGACGAACAAAGGTTCAACGAATTTAATGTATTATTTTTATTTTTATTTTTTATTTTTTGTATTATCTTGATGGAAGACAATATAGAACATTTTTATTTTTTAATAACTAATACTAAGATATAAAGGAAGTTCGAGAATTGTGCACCGTTGTGAAATGACACTAATCAAAATGAGAAATGGAAAAAAAAATTGTGAAATACACATGTATACTAAAAGAGGCATTTTTGCGACAACAATACTGTTATATTCTTGTAAGTTCAGTTCGACTCGTTAAGCTAGCGAGTCGAACTCAATTCATTAAACTAGAAAATAAAGATTTTTGTATACTTTTATAAAGTTTGACTCGTCATGACTTAAGGTCAATTTAAACCCGACTCGTTAATATTGATAAGTGAATCAAGTTCAAACTCATTTATTGGTTCATTTAGTTAAGAAACCGCGCCCGACTTGTTAAACTCGAAATAAGATTTTTTATGAAATTGTTTGTAATTAGGCTTGATTAAGAATCGAATTTGACACGTTAATATCGACTAAACGAGTCGAGCTCAACATTTTTTCGACTTCTTTAGTTGATAGCATGGTTCGACGTGATAAAAGTTTGAATTCGAGCTCGGACTCGAGTCTACTTGTTAAAATTGTTAGAATTAATTTTTGACAATGTGAATAGTGTTAAATATGTTCTAATAAAAAACCGATGCAATAAACTTATTTGTCACAATCTTATTATTGAGTGTTCTTGAAGTCGTTAGGTGCTCAATAGACGCTCGACCAACCCTTAGTGTCGAGCGCCTAGCCGAGGGTTAGAAATTAAGATTAACTACCTTAGTTTTATTAATTTTCACTACCTACAAAATAAAACTATCTCAACTCATTATAATTTCACACATCTAGGTCAAAATCATAATATTAATATATTATAAAGAAATCATGTAAGAAAATAATTTAATTATTATTTAAAAATAAAAAAAAACTAAAAAATTGTCGTCGAGACAGCCTAGAAGAGCCTAGGCCTGTCTAGGAGCATGCCGCCTTTCGGCCCAGCCTGCATAGTGATTTTTTCAATCGATCCATGCAAATCAGAGGCGGTCGAACGGTGCCTAGTCCTTTTTTACTACAATGTTATTATTATGAGAAGTTAAAAATAATAATAAATAAATAAATAAACTATTATCATGACAATTAAATTGGCACCAACTCAAGGTAGACTAGTTGTTCCGGTTCATAACCGGCCCGCCGGTTTCGGGATGGACCAATAAATTCAAAAAAAGAATGTCGAACTGTCTATTCGGATTATGATTCTAATTGTGAAAAATCATGAACTTGAACCGAACTCGGTAAAACCACGAGTCGGGTTAAGACTCATGTTCAACACGCCTGACCGGGCTGGTTCAACAGGCTAGTTCAACACGTGGACATGTTCAGCAGGAGGTGAGGACAAACAAAAATGTTCTATAATGTATTGGACTTTGATAGATGTTGAACAATTACTTCATTGCTAAAAGTGATAATGAAAGTCTTAGGGCGTGCTTGTTTACAAATAAATATGCTCAATGATTTTTTTAAAAATTAATTAGGGTTAATTTTCAAAAAGTTAGACGATTAGTTGTTAGTGGTATTTTGATTTCATATTAAAATAATATTTAAAATAAAATATTTAAAGTTGATTGGATGCAAACGTATGAGATACATGATGTGAATTGGTAGTTAGTTAAAATTATGTGAGTAGATGAATAGTGAATTAAAGTTGATATGATGTGTAATGATGATTGTTTTGTATTATTTAATTATATTACTAATATTGAGAATAGTAAAATTGAGTCAAATTTTAATTATGAATTAAATGTGAATATATTATTTTGTAAACAAACATATTCCTAGTGAGAGTGACAATGTTGGATATTGGACAATAATAAATGAATAAATAAATAAATAAAACCCAAAAAGACAAGAAAATAAGGACCAATGTTATTTAAGATTTAAGTTCAAACTTTGAACTTTATCTAGTCATGCCTACCTAACTTCTACCTTAACCCAATTTCTAGATGAAAATGATGCAATTTCCACAAATTTGATATTTATCTATAACTAATATTATTTATCTTTGAATAAGTTAATATTCATAATATATATTGTTTTTCATTTCACATAGAATAACTGAGTTGCTAAAAGCTCAATTTATGTTGCTGAAATCAAGAATGACCAAATACGAAGTTAACATACTAAGAAAGAAAGAAGAAAGAATCACTTTTGTAGTTTCCAACCATTGAATTTTACACATCAACCTTGATTGCTTAAACTAGTCTACCCACAAAATTGCACCATTTTGCTCCAAATAATTTTATTTAAAAGAAAAGGAAAAAGAAAAAGAAAGAATCACATTTAAGCTGCTGATTTCTGCACAGAAAATCAAGAAAAAATTTTCATCCTCGAAAATATCAGACTCCTCTTCCTCGATGGTGGATTTGAGGGCTTTCCAGGAAATATAAAAATTGGTGGAGCAACCTCAGTCCAACAACCCAAGAACCCGACCCGTTTCGCCATAGATTCAAGTTTAGTCACGAAACTCCGAAACTAGTACACAGTATACGGGCTTTCGCGAGAAGAAATTGATAATTAAGCTGTAATGGGAAGAGACTGCATATGTGAACTATGAAGACAGAAGTTCTTTGGTTTAATTTAAATATTTGAAGATTTCTGGGCAATTTATAGGAAAGATTAAAGCCGTCACAAATGTGGTGGAAGGAACACTGAAGAATCATTGAGGAAAAACACGTTTCTAATAAATATGCTTTGACATGTGAAAAATGTGGTAATTTATTGTAGGTGGCAGCAACAGTGTATTTACTATTTAGAACTGTGTCTTTATCGTTCTCATTTCCTTCTTTTGCTTTTGTTCATGGAT